GAACATTTTTACTTAGAGGACCCGATCCCGTTTACTTAGTACGTTTTTGAGATATAGCAACACCGGTGATGATCACCGTGGTAGTAAATAGCAAACTCCATTTTAGTATATATTTAATAAATAAAAAGTGGAAATTTTTGCAAAACAAAGATTTTACAAATTTTTTTTTTTACCTATTACCACCTTTTGCCATGGGCCCTCGTGTAATAAAAGCAAATATTGTTGGTATAATTAATTTTGGAGTTTGAAATATTTGTTTAAAAATATTTGAATCTGAAAATGATAAATATGGATTTGAAATGAGGATAGCTATATTCATTCTAATAACAACTAAAGAAAAACTTCCAGAGCACATGACCTTTTCTTCTAGCATGACTCCAACAGCCTGGTTGTTATGCGAATGAAATAACTTGGATGTAATGGTAAGCAATAAGATAAGTTTGAATTCAAATTGTAAATAGGTAATAAACAATTATCCACCATTGGATTGCATTTCTAAAGCCCCAGAAGAGGAATGATTAACTGGTGATCCTCAAGACCCAAAATTTGCAGACAATTCAAAACTTGGATGAAGATTAAGTGAAAAAGTGTAGAAAATAATTTGTGACCTCAAGCATATATCCATCCCTGTTTAAAAGCTACATTATTTCATTGCGCAAATGTTTACTATACTTCGTGAGTTATTTTCTTTAAATTATTAATATATTGTCATTTATAAATAAATTAATTGTATTGTTCGTATGTAAATAACAAATATTAATGTTTATAGATCACCCAGGAAAACTCTATAAGGCCACTTCAGTGGCCCCAATAGATATTCCTATTCAAAATTTACAAAGGCACAAATTTAAAACCTTTGCAACTAGAGTATGCGAAGTTATCAAGAACAATCCGTTCTTAGTAACGAAGCTACCTTCACCTACGATATAAACTGTGTTATCTGTGTGGATACATTATCGGTGGAGTACCTGTACGATACTCCAGTCATCATATACAAAAACGGTTATTTTAAGCACTAGGGTCAAGCCCAAGTATCTCAGCAAAAGGCCCGGACACGGAAATTTGGTGACGCATTACCAGGGACGAAAAATCCTTTTTGTGAAAGTCTCCTATGGGCCGTTCACCGGATCTCAAACCTCACATAAAAAGACACCATTAAATTAGTAAACTTGCAATTGATAAAATAGGAAAATTTTTAAATACGGATGATATTCCTATTATACGTATTCGTCAATGCAGGAAGATGCTCTCCGACAAGGCTGTTAAGAATCGAAAAAACCTGTACCCTGAATAATCCGAATAATCCAAATAATATATATAGAGGTTTTATTGGCTTTTAATATAAACTTTTGTAAATTTTATTTTTATTAGAGCTAATTAACCTTATTTAACAAATATAACAAATAACTTTTTTCTTTTTTCAAAAAAATTATTAATTTTATCCATTTTTAAATAACATAACATTAAAAGCTTTTATCCACTTTTAAATATACCTTTTGACAAATAAATAACCGCTTTTCAAATATAACATTTTAGTAAAAAAGTAACTTTTTTATCAAAATTTCAATAATAATCTCTATTCGGGCCCTAGCTTATCATGAAACGTCTAAAGTTCGTTACCATTAATTTCAAACAACACTTAACTTTACATGAACACGATGAGTTTACCCAGGTCGAAAATATCGGTCAAGGAGGATTCGGAGCCGTGGTCAAATCAAAATGGGCAATGCAAGAAAAATTCGATTACCAGAAACGAGGTGGGTAACATTTGTTGCAATATTTTATGAGTACAGTACCAGTTTACTGACAACAATACTGTTAATCAGTTAAAAAACCTATTTATGGTTTGTGATCATCGAAATATCGTGGGATTTCATGGAATCATCAAAACTTCAAATGGAACCTACAACATAGTTTTACAATTCGCAAGCGATGGAAATCTTCAAGAATATTTACAACTTCATTTTTCAAAATTCAAGTGGTCTGATAAATTAAGAATCGCTACTGAAATATCGGATGGTCTTGCATTCATTCATCAAAGGAATATTGTTCAACGGGATCTTTATACAAGAAATATTTTGGTTAATAACAGAAGAATACTTATCTCCGACTTTGGATAATCAAAAAGAATGGATGAGAAGACCGATAATTGCTACGGATTGCCTGCATATATGGACCATCGATGTTTTAAACTTCCTCCTGAATATGATCAGAAGTCTGATATCTTTAGTTTTGGTGTAATCCTCTGGGAAATATCGAGCGGCAAATACATCTGGATGATCTTGCTATTGGCATGCGAATATCCTGCGGAGATATGGAAATGCCCGTAGAAGGCACGCCTTCTGGATACATTCAACTCTACCAAGGCTGTTGGAATCACAACCCTGAAAATCGTCCGCATTCTCAAAATTCTGTGTATCATTAAACGCCAATTAATTAATATGCAACGTGCAGATCACGTCGATCTGTACCCTATACGTTATACATATTTTTTTTATCTATCAAAAGTAAATTTTTGTACGCCACAGGAGTCATTATGCAATTAGACAATATCGACTGTACTTGACAAGAATGTAAATGAACAAACAAAAAACTTAAATAAAATTAAATAGAATAAACTTAAGTAATTATTTTAGGAAACATCTATTTCCACCATGGAAGTTTGCTATTTCCACCATTGTCCATAATATATATAGCTAAAAGTCATGTGAAAACCATGGTGGAAATAAGCGCTCCCTTATTTTAAATGCGTTAATATTATTAAAACTGTAATAATAATTACGTAGATATATTTATAAGAATTTTTATATTTTTATATACGTACTCATTTATTTTTCTCAAGATGATTATCTGCATATAGAAAAATATTAATACGTAGGATACGTTCGAATTTCTTTATTAATAAACTTCGTAAATCTTATTTTGATAAATAACTTACTATATGCAAAAGAACAATTAAATCTAACAATTTTTTTCAAGTAA